GGCAGGAGCACGGATGGAGGGCGAGGGGGCCGGTACCCCGCGGGCGGGTGGTGCCTCCGCCCGGGGAGGGCAGGTGAGTGTCTGCGTGGCGTGGGGGGCTTTGGAAGCGCACCTCTGGGACTCGGGGAAGAGGAGGAGTAAGCGATGTCAACCTTGACCATAACCATCCTTCATCTTCAGAGCTCCTCTCTGAGTGCTGCTGAAAATGGCTTGGACCCTGACGAGGAGCCTCTTCTCAGAAAAAATCCCCGCCGGTTCGTCATCTTCCCCATCCAGTACCCAGACATATGGAAAATGTATAAACAGGCTCAGGCCTCCTTTTGGACAGCAGAAGAGGTGAGTCCTGGAGCCAGTGGGTTGGCACAAGTTGCTCAGACTGGGTCCTGGCTCTTCCTTCCTAGCTCTGCTGCTGCTTTCTGTGTTGTAAGAGTTGGAGTTAATAGCATCAAACATGAGGCGCCTGCACCAGAGCAGGTCTCTCTTCATGAACAGTGGAAGGAAAACTGCTTCCACGGGGTGATTCAGTGGAGCTGTTGTAGGTGTTCGGTTTAGACTGAGGTGGAATTGTATCCTGGAACTCATCTCTGGTTGTAGAGGGAGCCTAAGTCAGATGCTCTGATTTGTGGTCAGATGGCTCTTACCCTGCTGTGGTCTCACTACACTTGCAGCAGTGGAGGCTTCAGAACACTGCACTGAGCTGGAGAGATTACCTGCCAGCCAAGCTGGTGCTTCCAGCTCGAAGCTTCTGCAGTCTTTGCTCATGTGTCAGCAGTGATCTGCAGTTGCAGAGGAGCAGGCTGAAAGCTTTGGTGGGCTCTGAGTGGGCCAGAAAGCATCCTGAGATGTTGAGGAGCAGCTGCCGTTGAAGGGCTGTTCCATTGCTACCCTGTTGCAGTGGAGGTTGATTTAAGCTGTTAAAGAAGAGCTATTTAAACTCCTGCCTGCTGAGCATTGCCCTTATACTGTATTACTGGTTCCTTCTTACACTGTCCTGCCATCTGTGGATGCATTTCCAAATGAACTGGAAAGCTAACTGTAAAACTGGCTTGTGTGTGTGTTTATCCAGATGTGTATATGTGTACACATTTATACACATGCACACATATACACATATATAAAATCTTAGGCCTCTGTATTTTTCACATCTGGCCTTACTTAACTGCTGCTGTGGTTTGGAAATCCTTCCAAACAAACAAACAAACAGAAGAGGCCTGTTTGAAGGAAGTTGTGGTTCTCTACTGTGGCTAGCACGTTGTTCTGGTAGACAAGAGCAGTTACACAGCATGCGCCCTGTGCCATTTTTTGGTTGGAAGGAGACTGAACACCTGCCAGAGGCAAAAGTCCCCTTGATCTATCTTTTGGCACATATGGGTGTAGATTTCTTGGAGCATCAGCATTTATTTCAAGTAGAGTTTTAAGTGTATCACAGGGAGCTCTGCTTGTTGGCTTGTGTTCATGATCCTGACAAGAAGATATTAATACTTGTCAAAATCTGATTTATAGTTCCATAGGCACTGATTTTTATTCCAAATTACAAAAGTGTAAACCATGAAGTGAACAGGTGATGTTGCAGCTGCAGAGGGAGACAGCAGTATTGCACCATCTCCCTTGTCTTACAGTCGCATCTATTTAAATTCTCTATATGTGAAAATTTGAGGGCAAATGGCAAAACTTTGCCTCGGTTGTTTGCCTAGACTGCCACAAACTCAAAAGAACAATAACATTACTCTTTTTTTTCTTTCCGTTAGGTTGATTTGTCAAAGGACCTTCCTCATTGGAATAAGCTGAAAGCAGATGAAAAATACTTCATCTCGCACGTCCTGGCGTTTTTTGCAGCCAGTGATGGAATTGTAAATGAAAACCTGGTGAGAAGGCTTTACAGAGGGCTTGAATAATTACTCATTTTATTGGCTTATTGGCTTTTCATTTTGTTTTTCTCACATAAGTGCATGTTTATTAAATGTGGGTTTTTTTTTCTTCCCATCATTTAACCTTTGCCAGCAGTTTGTTCTGCTGAGTTAAATTGGGTCAAGTGTGGTTAGCAAGACTCCAGATTGCATCACTTTCAGACAGTTTTTAAGCTCATCCTTCCACCTGGCTGTGTTAATAGAATCCCACACTTCTTCTTGTGTTAGATGAGAAGTAGGGAGGGATTTGGCTCTGCCATGCTCTGTATTCATCGTTTTGATAAAATCCAGTTTGCTCTTGCTGTACAGCATCCTAGAATCTTTGAAGGCTGCAGGTGGGTGCTGCTAAAAAGGTGGGGAAATCTTTCTGCTGAAATCAGTTCTGGGCTGCAGAATGTCTCACCACAGGTTATCAGTGGTACCTTACTGGAAATGTCCAGTTTAAACTTTGTATACCTGTAACATGTAGAATCTGTCATAGTGCATGTGCATATATTGCATGAATACGTCTTATGTCATACTGTTAATTTTTTCCAGTGGTGATCAAGAAGTGTGAGGGTATGTTCAATATGAAGTGTTTTTACTGTTCTTCTCCTATAGATGTGTGCCTTCATGCAGTTTTCTATCCAATATGCACAGCAGCTGTAGTTACTTCTAGCTAGCTTGCTTTATTTTGTCCTGCACCACACCTATCCTGTTAACATATCTGTGAATAAATTAGGGCTGAACTGCTCCCATCCTTTCTCTGTGGTCGAGGTCTGTTGTCTCTCCCATTAAGCTCAGAGTGCTGTCCTGCAGGACTGGTTTTACTGTACTCATTGCCATGCTTTCTGGTTTTGGTAGGTGGCACGTTTTAGTCAGGAGGTGCAGATCCCAGAAGCACGTTGTTTCTATGGCTTTCAGATTCTCATCGAGAACGTTCACTCAGAGATGTACAGCTTGCTCATAGACACCTACATCAAAGATCCTGAGAAGAGGTAAACCTCTGGATGTGTTCCAGACCCATAGGAAGTCTGTCACCTAGTCCAGTGGTGCCATTGTTGGGCAGCAGCAGCTGTCTCCTGTTTCATACTGACTAACTGGGGGAGTTGGGGATGATTCCTTAAAGCTTTCAAGGCCTGCATGCCTGACCCCAAAATGGAAAGAAGTATTACTAACCAGCAGACTTGAGTGGGAGTGTCAGAAAGCTAGTTGATATCTGTATAAATCTTTGAGTAGGGGAGGTGTGGACTATGTGGAATGTTGTTAAAGGTTAGACAGGCTCCTTGTGATCATTGTGCTCCTGAGGTGTTTGCTCTCACATGAGCAAAGGATCTGCTGCAGGAAGTTGAGTGCCTGTGATCCAGCTGGTGTTTCTGACATACACTAGCCAATGTATTGCATCCTTTCACTTTTTTGTTGTCAGTGATTTTTCATACAACTTGAAGCGCTTATTTTTGAAGCACTGGGTTCTTTGGAGAGCCCCGTTGGCTGTATTGTCTGGAGAACTTCCTAGTCCAAATGGTAACACATTTAAAAGAAAGCATGTTCCCTCAGAAATTCCACTAGGCTGATGGTCAGCTAGAGCTTGGTTTCCCACGATGGCATCCTGTGTGGTGACTGTGGGAGGACTGCAAGGTTTCTTTTTCAGGTGTTTAGCAGGGGAGCAGAGCCTGTGCTCCTGGGAATTGTCCAGTTGCTGTTGTGGAATTGTGCAAGGTGAAGTTTAGCGTGGTGGCTAGGAAATGTCTGCTGCCATCTGGCTTGAAGTCTGAGAGGCAGTGTGGGTGAGCACTCCTAGGGTAGGACATTGGAGCTCACTTTCCATCTCTCCAGCTCACCTCCTCTGAGACCTTGGGTTTGTCACTTTCTGCACATCTGCCTCCCTGTGCCCTTGTTATCAGAGATCATCACCCCTTTGGGGAGGGAATGGTCTCTCTTACTTGGGTTACTTCAGAACCTAGCATAATGGGTTCCTCTCTCTGGTGGAGCCAGTAGGGACAACCAGGACAGATTTACATAAATCACTTCTTACTCTTTTGATGTTTTCTCTTTGTTTTCTTCTTCAGGGATTTCTTATTTAATGCTCTTGAAACAATGCCTTGTATCAAGAAGAAAGCAGACTGGGCTCTGAAGTGGATTGAAGACAGAGAGTCCACTTTTGGTGTGTAGCTTCTTTCTGTCGCACATGTCACAAACTAATCCTCTGGGAGTGAACTGCATCTCTGGAATGTGATATCAAATTCTCCACAGATGATGTACGGGTTTGTGGGTCTCTGGTTTAACTAAAGAACTAGAAGTGACTTCTGGTAAGGATGTATATTTCTACCTTCAGTTAAAGCAGTATAGTTATGGCAGTGCCCACTAGAGTCATGTTATGAAAATGTCTTCTTTTGTCTCTACACCAGATAGATAACCCTAGTTTCTTTGGTTTTTGCTTGCAGACTTTGTTTTCTAGGACTTCTGATTATTTCTTCAGTTGACTTCTATTTTGTACTCCAGTGTTCAGAGCTGGGCAGCTGAACTCTTGCAAGTCCAGGCTTTTTCTGTGTTCACATTCATACAGACAAATTTGTGTGTGAAGTTAGTCTTTTTTTGTAACAGAATGACTGAGCTGAGCAAAAATGAATCGTCTGCCCATGGTGTTTCTGGTTTGCTGTAGGGACCAGGTTTCTAGTTTCTGCATCTTATTTCAGAGCTGGGACACTGGCTCAGCTTCTATCAACATAGTGCAGGGTATCCTTCCCAGTGTTCTGCATTCACCTTACACTGTTGATTCTGAAGGATGTGTTATAGCTGAAATGATAAGGAGCAGACTGGTGAATTTTCAAAACCAAATGTCCTCTGTGCTTAGAGAAAGTGTGAGCAGGTGGAGAGATTCAGCCAGACAAACACAATAAATCTAGGTACCATTCTGTTGCCGCATCTGTTGTTCACAGCTCTAGTTTGAGTGGAGTTCTTTTTGCAGCTGTAGGTTCTCCTGTCTTGGAATGTCCTGGTGTCTCCCTAGCTGGGCTTAGCTTGCTGCCTGTGCAGTCCCTTCTTCATCTGCTTCATTCTCCCCAGCAGTGTGGGGTGTGCCAGGAATCAGAAGGTTCCCTAACTCAAAAAGCAATTTTCCCTCCCCAGCCTGCCCCCAAAATTCATACATCCTATCCAAATTTTTGGAAAGTATGTTTCTACTGTTCTGTTTTTTCATCTTACTGAGGAAACTTCCCAAGTTTAAAATATTTGGGTGGGTCCAGATCTAACAGATACAGATTATGAGGTATGATACATGAAAGCAGCTGGCTGGCTTGTTTCCTGATGTTTCTTCCTGCCTGGGGACCTGGCCTGCAACTGGGTCTCCACAACTTTGATTGGTTGCTTCTGCTGAGGGCTGGATTGCTCTGTCTGTTCAGTGGGCTCTCAGCCTCCCAGTCTGCACTCAAATCTTTTGGTGCTGCTGTTGGGTAATTTTTGTTTCAGCATAACTCATTTATATGGTAGCTAGTCAGGTAGAATGCCATAAAAACCATACAAATATTCAGTCTTGTGCTTCATTAAGCCTACACTGTATGGGCACTCATCTCTAGAAGTCACCTAGGAGATTTTTTTGTGTTGCTAGCCAAATTCTCTCCTTGGTAACTTCTGTGATGCTGTAGTAAGTTGCTCTTGCTCCTCATGCTTTTTTTCCCAACTTGAATTTCTTCAGATGAGCCAGCAGATGGCATTTGCATCTTGTAGAGGAAGTGGGACATCTGGCTATTTTGGGGTTATTTTATTTTTTAAACAAAATTGTATGCAGTTCTCTCTGGGAAGAGGCACCAGCGCTTAATGCAAAAGCTCTTTGTGTTAGAATATACCCAAGAATTTTGTGAAGTTGTTTAAAACAGAGTATGTGAAATGATGTTTCTTCACCAAGCAGTCAGATGGTCTTGCAGTATGAAGAAACACGTTTCTGTAGAGAAGAGGGAGATCTGGGACCAATAATACTGTGCTTTCTTTGGATGAAAGATGAGATATCAGGTGGGAGAACATGAACAGTTATTTGTGTCTTGAATTGTGTTCTGTGTGGTTCCACTCTTGTAAGAATATGGTCTTATGTAGATTCTCAACAAGAAGAAGTAGAGGTGTGGGTTTTTTTGCTGAATTTATAGGGGCTTGACTCTTCTTGCAGTTTTGTCCATTAGTTACACAGCCATTTTCCTTCCTTTTAAGAGAAAGAACTACAGGAGTATTGATGTCTTGTCCATTTTGGACAATTATGTTCTTTCCCTTCTGACCTGTGGCAGTTTCAGTGGGCGCCTTTGTTCTTCAGCTCTGCTGGGGCTGCCTGTGGTTAAGGCCGTTGCGTGGAGCCTGTGCGCCTCGGGGTCTGCAGCAGGATGTGGTCACAGACAGCACCTGGTGCTCACATGGGGACTGCTTCTCTCCAGCATCAGTCTGCCTGCTGCACATGGCGCACCTTGCTGATGAGCAGCATGTTATTTTGTGTCTAACTGAAAATACATTCTGTTAAACAGGTGAGAGAGTGGTTGCCTTTGCTGCAGTTGAAGGCATCTTCTTTTCGGGTTCCTTTGCTGCTATATTTTGGCTGAAGAAGAGGGGCCTGATGCCTGGACTGACTTTCTCCAATGAACTCATTAGCAGAGATGAGGTAATGTGTCATGTCCTTCTTACTGCCTGGAAGGGAAAGTGAGTTTCCAGGGGAAGGGCAGAACTATAAAGGTCCCATAGTTCTGACAGAGTGGCCCACTTGTGGTGGAAGGGAGGTTTGGAGTGAAGGTGGAAAGATCAAAAAGCACTGTTTGGGTAGGAACCAGTGAAAAAGAGAATCCAGCAGCAAGCAGCAGATGCATTTCTGAGTACAATGGAGCCTTTTTAATGTTGACAGGTCCTGAAGGCCAAGGAGGTGGTAGAAGTCTGAGTAAGTTCTTTGCTAGCCAGTGTCTGCAGCAGTGCAGGCTGGCTTGGGCAAGGACCTGGCCTTGGACGTGACTGAGCCTTGCTCTGCCCTAACTGATTCGGTCAGGTTCAAGTGGCCTCCTTGTACCAGTCCCCATCGGTCCTAGCTGTGGGTCCCAGGGCTTGGAGATGGCCTTCTGCATCCATCACATGGCCAGCTGTGGCAGGCTGCTGCAGGACGAGCCAATATTGTTCCTCTCCATGTTCTTGAGTTTCTGCACAGCATTAGGATCTCCTGGGAGGGGTCAGCTGCAGGCCTGCATTAGAGAGGAATGCCTCTTACCTTAAGATTTTAGGTGCCTCACCCAATGTGGCAGGCCACATGCTGACAAGTGCCCTTTATTTTTGCTGCTTCCTGAACTGCTCATTACCAGCTGGCAGTGGTTGCTTGTGGTTGGAGCCTGTCTTTAAGGCCCTGCACAACTTATGATTCTGTCAACACTGAAGAAGTGGAAAGACCAGTTTTGTATGCAGTATAAACATGCTAGTGGTTTAAACTTAACAGAACTGGTATAAAAGAATAAAGAGCTTTATCATAATGGAAGTAAATTCCATGGATTAGATAAAATTATTTGAAAGGGAGCATCTTGCAAGATGCCTGTAATTTATAAAGATACTTTTGAAGAAAATGGTAATGATCAATAAGGAAAACCAAACGGTTCTTCAGCCTTGACCTCCCTTGTGTCTTCTGTTTCTGTGAGTCATTGTGAGCTGATCCGTTTGAGCGAGGAAGCATTTGTTTGTTAGGGGGATCATGTGCAGGTGAATGAGATCTAAGTTGCTCTGTACAGCAGTGTAACTGTCCTTCTCTGCAGAGTCACGCACCAAAAGACTGATTTTTTTCTTGAGCTCTGCTGGCATAACTCTATCTGCAGAGCTGTTACGAAGGGTGAGGCTTGGTGTGCACAGCACCTGCATTGCACATAGGGAAATGCTGTTACGAAAGCAGTGGCAGTAAAAAAGAATCCACAATGACAACTACATGAACTCTTTTCTGATGCACCTGAGCAGATAACTGGTTAATGCTCAATATGTTTTTTGAGCTGCAGGCTCTGTTCCCAGGCTGTTCTTTGAGCTATATGCATCTCTGATTCTTTAAGGTGCAAAGGTGCTGGGAGCACCAGTCAGCAAAGCACACTGGTTCAGGTGAGAAGCCAGGCACGTCCTGCATCCTACTGGTGATGTTGCCCTGGACAAGACGACAGGAAGACCTGCAGCAGGCAGCAAATGCTGTCCCCGGAGAGGGGGTATTTCCCAAATTATGTTGTTTCAGGGCTGTTTCATGACATTAATCACAAGGATTTTGTAGCCTTTCTGAAAAAGTTTTTGGTTTTACTTTGACCCTTGTTAACAATAGCACTGGATTGTCTTGTAGTCCATAGTCTGTCAAATCCTTCTGACTGGTTTTCACTCTGGGTGTGTCCTCATGGTGCTTATAGGCTGTCATCACCACCGTGCTGTTGAGAGGAGAGACAGCACCACAACGCTCCTATGGTTTGGCAGCAGTGGGTATCTCTGAAGCCAGAGGCTGAAAGCTGTTGCCAGGCAAGCTCAAATAGAACACAAGGCACCTCTTGGAGTAGCTGTCTGGGGACAGATTGTGAGGGATGGCTTGTCTCCTGGTGTTGTCTTATCCTGGCTGGGGGCTTTTCTGGAAGTCTTTGGAATGAACAAAATTTACTGGGTTCTGTTCAGGATAGCTGGGTCAAACGTGAATGTGGGTTGAGTTGAAGTATTACAAACCTGTGAAGATCATGGTAGCAAATTCCTCACAATAACTACATGTTGTGTGGAGAGGTGACTTGTTCATCTTGCATTTGGTGACTAATCTGAGTCTTTCTGAAAATGCTGTGAGAAGCAGGGGAAGAAATGCTGCTAAAAGAACTTCAAACAAGTGCTTTTGTACAGGTATCTCAAAGCAGAGAGTGAGCAGGTGAGCAGTCTGTGTTAACTGGCAGGTAGTTCTGCAGATCTTGACGTAGGAGTCCTTCTGCAGAAGCGTCTCTGGTGGGAGGCAGGAACCCAGCAGCTCTCTCTGTGTAGGATCCCTCACAGTAGAACATCTCTCAAAAATACTTACCTGAGAAACACGTATGCTGTTATTTTGGCATAGGTGGTGTGTGGTTGATTTCAGTGTTACTAACTGGACTGCAAACGAGAAGTGCCCACTACACATGATATCATAAAGACTGTCAAAGGATCAGGAGGCTAGGGAGCTTCAACCTCAATGAGGCTGCCTCAAAGTAAGAACAAACTATGTGGGGGAGAGAAAGACTGACATTTTTTGCTTTTCCATTATTTTCTGTTATTTCAGGGTCTACACTGTGATTTTGCTTGTCTAATGTTCCATTATTTAGTGAACAGACCATCAGAGGAGCGGGTCTGTGAGATCATCGCTAAGGCTGTTGAAATCGAGCAGGTGAGCCTGGCCGCGACAGCGTCGTGGGCAGAGCAGGACCACTCCCATGTGCAAAAATAAACTAGCTTCCCTGTTTGGTGTTAAGCTCAGACCTGGATCCCTGATGCATTCAATATACGGTCCCTTCCCTCTTCCTTTAATGGTGACAGAAGAATCGGAGGCTTCCTGATTCAGTTGTCAAGCAACTGGGAGAAACTGAAGCTGGCAGCTGGTTTCTTCCTTAATGATAGAAAGGAAGACAGGCTGTCTTATTTGATACAGAATAGAATAGTTCCAGCTGGAAGGGACATACAACAATCATCTAGTCCAGCTGGAACTGTCTGCTAGCAAGAGTTTGTTTACCTCTGGCCTTTCAAGATCTTTGTCTCTTCCTACTGTATACACATCCCTGCTTGTCCTTTTGTTCTCAGGAGAAGGCGAGGTTTGTTCTGGCCATGTGTACTGTGCTGGGTTCTGACTTTTTCTGAAGTTGCTGTCAGGTTCTTTGACATGAAGTGCTACCCACCTGCAACTACAGGTTTCTGCACTGCTGAGTGTTTGGCAGGACTGTAGTTTACTCTTTCTTTTCTGTTGTCGTCTAACTACTGTGATGATGACAAATGCCCGATTGCCTCACATCACTGACAGGTATTGCATTGGTGCCTAAACAATACACATGGCTGGGTTCAGCACTCATATATATCACTGTTCTCTCCAGACTATTCTTCTGTAATGGGTGAAAGCCAAGGAAAACTTGGAAAACCTTCTGGATCTACTCCTGCTCTTACTAGTATCATCTGTGGGTTTTATTGCACTTGGAGCTCAAGCTTACAATGAAGCTTGGGATCTTATGGGGGATAGGGGAAGGCAGATGAGAAGAGCTGTAATAAAAATTCTTGTGCCTTTTCTAGAAAAACATGATAAAAATAAAGGAAAATACAAGCAATTACTGAAAACAGAATACACTTGTTGAGTTTAGTGATGCAAGTTATTTATTCAGACAACTGCCTGGGGAGCCTGTAATATCAGAGATTGTCTTACTGTGAAACACAAGTATCTTCTCTCCTTTTCCCTTCTTAAATTTCATTTCTCTAAATGTTATCTGTATTTTAACTTCTAGGAGTTTCTAACAGAGGCATTACCTGTAGGTCTGATTGGAATAAATTGCACTTTGATGAAACAATATATTGAGTTTGTCGCGGACCGGTTGCTAATGGAGCTTGGGTTCTCAAAGGTAAGAGATGCAATTGCCCAAAATGCTGGTCTGCCAGGACAGCCCAGGAAAACCTGTCAGCACAAGGAACTTTCTTAATGTGCTTGGGAGCAAGGTCATATTTAGCTCTTGTGCTCTCTGTGATTGACAGCCAGGACCTCAGTATTAAAATATATGCTTCACTGCTTAAAAGAGCAAGAAAATATAGGCCATTATTTCTCTTCAGCTGCTCTGCAGGTTTGCAATGGGGAAAATTAAGCTGTGCTCAAGTGGTACAGTCCTCAAAGGATTATAAGCACCTTGCATGGGTGAACTTTACCATAGACCAGACACCTGGGGAGTGATAGTACTGAACTTGCTTAGATAGGTGCCCATAGATTCTACGGTATATTACATCCAGGGATGATCTAGTTTGAAAGTGTTTGGCTGTTTTGTTTGTTAGGGCTTTTTTTAAACCATTGTTACTCTGTCAGAATCACCAGTGTAATAGTGTTTTCCTTTACTAGGTCTTTCATGCAGAAAATCCTTTTGATTTCATGGAGAATATTTCTCTGGAAGGAAAGACAAATTTCTTTGAGAAGCGGGTTTCAGAATATCAACGTTTTGCTGTTATGGCAGAATCAGTGGACAATGTCTTCACTCTGGATGCAGATTTTTGATAACTTGGGAAATGAACAGTGACTGTTTCTCTCTCCTCATCTCACTTCCTGCTGTGAAGTCATCTTCATTTTCTCTTCTGGAATTGGAGTCTAGTAGGATTTTGTTTCCTGGGTTATCACGTCATTTTTCTGAGGAGTAAATATATTTTTCTGTGTCATTTAAAATAAAGAAAAAGGGAGATCCTTTCTGAAAAATTTATATGGCTTTTTAAAAGGATGACCTTTTTAAGATTCCATTGACTCATATGCCATGATTGCCATCTTTAAAAATGCCCTAGATACTACTACTTTTTTAAGACTTTGGTAGTGTCTTAAGAAAGTAAACTGTGTATTTACCTCATGTTAATCTGAAAACCATATGAGGTATCACTTAATGTATATATTTTGCTATAAATTATTTACATGGTTTTTGTTTTCATGTTTATAGATTTGGTCTAGAGTAAAAGCTCTTCCCTTTTGTCCTGCTGCAGATACAGTAATAAGTGAATGTGGGAAGACATTAATAAAGAGTGGAATATAAAATCTTCTTAAACTCGGGGTTGTGGTTTGATCTCCTCATTAACCTGGGTTCTGTCTCAAAAGGTTTTTACTCTGGTTGCAAACCTGATGGCTCTCGGTGGGAGTTTAAATCAAATACACAGGATTCTTGTCTTACAGCTGTTACTGAGCAGGTCAGCAGACTTTGAATGGTCCTTGAAAAGGCAAGCCAGTTAATAGTGGACAAAAGTCCACATCCTGTAGTTCTTTGGCTTGTGCTGCCTGTTTTTCCCAGCTTCTCTGAACAAGTGCCTTGTTAAGCAGTCTGTAGTTGCATTGATTTGCAGTCAGCATCTGGCACTGGAACAGCCAGCTCCAAGTGTTGTCTGTCTTCCCTTTGTCATGCTGGATGGTCTGATACTCTCCATTTCCCAGTTGTGCGTTGGTGGGGTGAGAAGGCAGGTAGTTCCAAGGGGTTATCCCTTGAGGTGCTACAAACATACTGTTTGGGCTGTAAGGAAGCACCAGTAATGTATGAAAACTACTTCAGGTTGCATATTTAATGTGAATCGTTGAAACCATTGTCACAGAAGAACTTCTGGAGGGTGGTATTAAAACTTTCAAAACCAAATCTTGAAGTAATTGGAGTAGCAGCATCTTAAAAAAGGACTGCACTTTGGGTTTTGGTGTGTTTCAGTGTGTGCTCGAAAACATTTTTTGACTTCTTGATGTCACACGCAGAGAATAAAGCAGCTGAAGAACGGCTAACATACTGCAGTGGTACTTGGGATGGAAGAGATACTATTCAGTTGTAAAATGGATTATTTGCAAATAGGTATGCTCATTTTCTCAAAGGCAAGAGTTTGTGTACATGAGCTAGACAAAGGGTTCTGCTTTTTTAAACCTAAACATTTTTTTTTAATGCTCAGCAATTTGTATAAGAGCTTTTATAAGTCTTACTGTTGCAGACATCTTGTGCTTGTTTTGATAAGCCTGGCATGAGGTGAGCTGAGAGGCCAGGGTTGTTGGTGATGGGGTGGTAAAACTGTTATTTCCCTGCCAGCCCAGATCAGTGACAGCCCTGAGTACCTGTGTTCATGGAATAGGTCCTCTGCCTTGGCGTAGTTCCTCATGAATGATTGTCACTGGTGTTAAAACAAGCAGCAAAATTGACTCTTTGTTTGGTCTCAGTGGAAGATCATGAATATATAATGAACATGGAAACACCACAGCTTTTGTTTTTCCTAGGAAGAGCTTGTGTCATTTGACATAAGGTATTTGGGAGGGCAGAGGGGGACCTGGGAAATACAGAGAAAAGCTGGAACTGGTGGCCCTCACTGGTGTCCTGCAGCTGTAAGAGAACTGTTGTCTCAGAAAGGAAATCCAGCACCTTTTGGAAATACTGTATTGATGGGGCAGAAAGAGAAAAATGTTGTGAATGGGTCTCTTGCTGGAGTAATGGAACCCACTTTTATGTTCCTGAAAGTACTAAAAAGCATTTGTTTTGAGTGTTGTGAATTCAGATGAGAGGACACCGAATATTCAAATATGAGACTGCTACCTGCTCAGGTTCTGTAAATGTATGCGAGATACCAAAGTCTGGTACAATAGCTCCTACTCTGTTGGTGTATAAAATATCTGTAATTTCAATAAAACCTTATCATGGAGAAGTGCATGCCTTTGTGTGCTAGTTATGTGCTTCCTTGTGAAATCCAGAATTATGAAGTTGGACCATGCCGGAGTAAGTTGCTGTTCACAGCCTTTAGGTTGTGGGGGAAAGTGATGAGTCCTCCATACACTGTCTTGGGCTTTGTGAGGTCCTGACTTGCTCTTTGTTCCCAGCAGTGGGATTTGCTGTCTCAAGAGCAAACAAATACTTTTTTTTGTGGAATCTTCTGACCCGAGGAGAGAACTCTTGGGGTGTCTTAGATTCAAAGAAATACTCCAGAAATGTAATATTGGTGGGTGGCATCTGATACCCAATACATCAAGGGCATCATCACTCCTTCAGGTCAGGTGCACTGACTGTGCCTGGGCACAGCAGCATGGGGTTCAGCCCCCTGAGCTGGGGCCATCCAAGCCTGCCTGCAGCCAAGCACCGGGCAGCTCGGGCTGAGCTGGCTGAGATTCACACCTGATGGCATCTACACCCTCAGGGGTGTCAAGTCAAATGTCCATGCTGCCCCTTTGTGCCTCCTTGGGACAGGCATGAAAGGCATAAGGTCCTTTCCTGGCCTGCCCATGCTGGGTCATGCGCAGAAACCATGTGCTTCTGAGGTCTCTGGTGGACAAGCTGGGTCTGGCTTTGTGCATCTCATGCTGTGGCCATCACACTTAAAAAAGCCTGATGGGTGGGTGTGTGAGAGAGAAGTTGCGATGCATTCCTTCAATACGTAGTCTGTGTGCCCTGGGTTGGAGTCCAAGGCTGGCACATGACTCCCATTATAGCTGGTGGGACAGAGAAGCTGCTTCCAGAAGGATTTGTGTCTTGGTGAAGGCACTGTCTGCAATGGGCAGGTGAGTAGAAACACATCTCTGGGGTATGCAAGGGCAGCTGGGACTCATGGGTAGAATTTACCTTTTACCATGGAAAATGGCCTCTGTAGCACCAGCTGTTCCCATTCAAGCAGACACATGGGTCCTAGCAAAACCTGTGATGTGGTTAGCAATAGCCACAAGTGGACAGCATGCTCCCAGACCTGCTTTCTGGTCATGAAACCGCTGTGGAGTGCAGTGATCAGTGAATATTCCCAGCCCTTGTTGGGAAGGAAGAGGAAGTGGGTGAAGACAGGGCAATTAGCAAGCTCTTGGTGTTTTGTGGTGGCCCAGAGGCCATGCTGCTGGACTGGTAAGATTTTTGCAGCAGCTGAGGAGGCTGCGAACATGGCAGCACAGCCAGGGCTGCGGGCAGGCCCTGGCCAGCTGACACTGCACGAACCCAAATCTGCCCCATTTCTGGTCCTCGCGTCTATAAACAGCGAGTGTGGCCTCCCTGCTGGCCACTCCACAGCCGGCCAGGGGGCACCTTCCTTCCAGCCCTTCCGAGGGGATGACGCAGGCTGGTCTTCCTCCTGGTGGAGCCCATGAGTCAGCAGATATTAATCATAGAATCATTTAGGTTGG